CCCCGCAGACCAGCCCGAGTGCTGGCCCCCAGCCGCTCTGGGTGCTGAATTCCATGATCTGAATACAGTACTGCTCCTGGCTTTTCACTGTGGAGGCAGCTCTCCAATGCCTGTGGCAGGAAAGGCCTGCCACGGTCAGAGGGGGCAAAGGTGAGCCCACAGCCAGCTGCCCCAGGGAGGTCAGCCCGAGCGGCGGGCAGGGCACGGTCCCTGCCCCGCGCCTGGCCGGGGCCCCTGCACATCCGGCCCCCCAGCCCCTGCCGCCTGGCCGGTGCCTCCATATCAGTCCCTCCATTGCCCAGACCGGCTGCCCGGGCCCTGCTGACGGGGCCGCGCCTCCTCGCGAGATGGAACCACAGAGGGAATGGACACCGAGTTTCATGTTTCAGTGGCCTGTTAATTATTCACACAAACCGGCCTCCTGTGGGATAGCCTAGCTATTCTGGTAGCTTGGTAAACAGAGCTTAACCCCCTGACCCCTGGGTCAGAGGTCAGCACACTCTGAGATCGCTCCTGGGCCCCCACAGAGTGGCCAGCACAGGGATGTTCCCTGCCATGTGTCCTCGGACACGGCTCTGGGACAGGGACCCTGCGCTGGTGCAGGGGCAGGACGCGGTGTGCACAGGGCATCCGAGAAACAGGGCAGGAAACTGAAGAAACCGTGCAGACTCGGAAACTGGGGTGCACGGAGCCCCAGGCTCCCTCACGGCGGGGACGCAGGGCTCCTCCCAGGACGGACACGCCCCCAGTCATAAGAGCCCACGTGGGCCTGCCAATGATGCCTTCCTGGGGCAGGCACGGGGGAAGCTCCCAGTTCCCCGGAACCCACAGGTGGACACCTCAGAACCCACCGATGCCCGTGACCCCACACATGGCCAGGCAGGTGGCCGTAAGTTGGGGAGGGGGGTGGGACACGGGGGTAGGGGCCCCAGACACCCGGGACACCGAGGGGCTTGGCCCACTGTGGCCATGACACGACCTCCCCATCCCCAGGGTGGGGGCTGCCTGCCCGAGCCCCTGTCTGCAAGCAGATGCTGACCAGCTGGGGCCGAGAGCCCCAGGAGGGCTTGACCTCAGCGCGGAAGCCAGGGGAGCCCACGTCCTTTCTGTGCTGGTCTCAACAGAACAAGGCTGGCAGAGGCCGGCTGCAGCACCCCACCCACAGAGCCAGGGGTCTCGTGGAGGGGCAGCCGCCACCCCACCCAGCCCCAGCCGGCGAGGCAAGGGGGGCAGGGGGCACCCAAAGGGGTGGTCACAGCAGCCGCGGTCCTAGCCAGGACCGGCCGGACAAGCCCCAGGGCTGCGCGGACCCTGGCCAGTCCAGGGAAGGACCCGCACGGCGGAAGGGGTCTGGCTTTCTCCCACCGTGGCCGCTGAACGATGCTGGGCAAGCCACGTGCACATGTGTCCCCGAATAAAAACGAGGGCCAGCCCCTTCCTAGCCGAGACTTCGGTCTGCCTGGAAAACAGGTTTTGCATTTTGCTGTCTCCTGGATGCTGAGCCCAGGGGCAGGGCAGGGCAGAACCTCCCATGGTCAGTGAAGCCCCGAAAAGACCAGCCCTCCCTCTGTGGCACTGGTGGTGGGGGCCCCATTCCTCAGGGGATCACCAGCTTTGGCTTTATGGACAAACTTCAGGAAATGCAGGGCACGTCCCAGAACCGGCTGTGCTGGGGGGGACGGCATGTCTTCATCCAGCCAAATGCGTGGGCTCTGCCCACACCAGCCACACCGAGGTCTGAGTGGTGGCGGCTCTGACTTCCCCCAGAACTGACACACGGCTCTGCTCTGGCCGCCTGACCCCACGCAGCTACTGGGAGGGGCTGTGCCCCACATCGGCTGCTCCACGGCCTGGCCATGGCCGCTGGGGATGCGAGCAGCTCTGAAAGGGGAGGCGTGGGCGTGGGCATGGGCCCTGGTGTCAGAGGATTGTCGAAAATAACCGTGGCACAGAATAAAACTTTGTGGTTACTGAGCTTTCTCGGCAACTGAGAGAGTTTTCTATTTTCATTTGCTTCATAACTATGAGCAAATTCTATTTTTATCCCATCTGTGGTCCGGTCCCTAAAAGCGAAAACAAGCCCCCAAACACCTCCTTTTTCACTGCCCACCTCAGATGTGCAGACGAACTCACCACCTCAGGGGCACCAGAAAGCTCCGACACTCATTTCTCACAGGGGAATGCTAGGGACCCCGGTGCCACTCATGGGGCCCTGCTTCCTTCGGCGTTTCCAGGGTGAGGCTGGGGGTGTTCATTCTGTTCAAACCATAACCCACCTCTCCCATTCTGCCATCACTTAATTTGAAATCACTTTCTAAAGAGACATTTTAGGGGCATTTTAACTGCTGTCTCAGGTTTCATCACTCCCCCAGAACATCTCTGCTCCCCACCGGCACACTACGATGCACAGCACCCTGTGCCATGACGCGGAGGCCCCGCACGGCCACGACGGCTCCTGGGTGCATGCGCGGAAGCAGACACACCTGCACCAGGGCACTGCCTGCCCAGGCCATGCGTCTCCACCATAAAGGTGTTCATGGTGGCATGTGGCACTCTCCCCCACAGGTGCGGCCCTCGCTGATATAATTGACAAGAAACGGGGCATTCAGCCATGATTTCTGCTGCTTTATTTCTGCCCCCCGTTCTTTAACAGCTGCGTTTCCTCCTGTTGTAGTGTCTTTTCCACTCAAAAACAATGCTCTTCGTTCAGTGAAAACTGTGGTCAAGGTGGGAGTTAAATGCCTGTGGCTACAGAGCACGGCTGATGCAGGCATTCATTAAGGTGGCAACTTAAAATGTCAGGCTGGCCGCTGTGCACTGGCAAGGCTCCTGACTGCTTGAGTCAAACAGCTGACCACACAGGTATCAATTGGTGCCAAGCGCTCGGCCACAAACACCCCCCTAACACCGTCCATGAGCCGAGGCTCAAGGGCTGCAGCCCCCGGCTCCTCCCCAAAAGCTCAGGTTGCTGATTGCCACGTTGGCAGACAGCCTTTGTCTCTGCGGCTCTTGCCCTGGAGAGCTTTTTATTTATCTAAATGGAATAAAATAAAAACACGGGTGCCCTGCTGAGCACCCCTTCGGGCCTCCATCATTCCCTAAACGACAGGGTTGGGTCTCCCAGTGTCGCTGTGTGTGCCCAGACCGGGGAGAAGCAATCTTTGTCAACACTGCTTGGCCTTGAGCTCGGGGGCAGGCGAGCAATTCCTCCCCAGCAGGTCACATCAGAGGGGCCTGGGCGGACTTAAGAGACCCGATTGGGGGCTGACACCCACACACAGCCAGTCTGGGGCTCCCTCATTGCCCGTGGGGAGCAGGAGCAAGTTTGGCAGATGCTTCCTCTCCTGGTCGGGGTTCCCTGGCCACCAGTGGGTGAATGCGTTGTCTAAAGCCTGGCAACCCTTACTTCCCCCCAAGTGTTGTGAGGCAGCAGCCCCCAGTGTCCGCGGTCCCCGGTGGGCTAGAGGGCCCCTCCTGGTCCTTGGGCAGAAGATGCCAGCCCCCCCCCGGGCCCCACAGTGGGTGCCATGCCGGGGCGCATGGGACCAGGCCGCAGGGTCCCAGCCAGAGCTCCGGGCTCAGGCATGCGGTGGGCCAGAGCCCTGCACTTCTGACAGGTTCCCAGGAGAGGCTGGCGCCGCGGATCAGGGGACCGGACCTTGAGAACCACTGCTCCAAAGACCCAGGCTCAGGCCCTTAAGACCAGCGTGGAAGCCAACACAGCCCCGTGGAACCGGCATCTGAGTGAACCTTGAATACCGGCCAAGGGGACCTGTGCTGAGCCCACCACTGACTGGCCAAGACCAGTCCTGGAAGCAGAGGGTGGAAGAGGACCCTTGGAAGGATCCCAGCCGGTAACAGCTCAGAAAGCAGCCCGAGGAAGCTGGTTCAAGGCTTGTGAGCTGCTGGGATGGGGGCAGCGCTGAGCGAAGGTGGACAGAGGGGCAGAGGGGGCCGCAGGCCTGCAGCCAGGCTGGCCTGGCTGGACCCTGAGCACTGGGCTGGGGTGCCTGCAGCTCACCATCCCAGCGTAGCCCTCGGTTTCGCTTCTGTGCACAGCCGGAGCCCTGAACGGGCAGCCTCGTGCTCCATCCTCGGAGCCGGAGCACTGCAAGGAGGCGGCTGTGGGCCCGCCAGAGGACCACGGTTCAGGGACGGCGGGCCTGCCTCAGTGGCTCCAGCTGGAGTTCCTCCAGGCTCAAGTTTCTGGAGGGTGAGCATTGTGACTGGACGTAAGGCTTGTCCCTTTCCTGAGAAAACTTATTTCTACAGATTTGCCTCAGAAAAGGTCTCCCAAAATAAAACTTTTATTTCAAGGTTCCATTTATCTTCTTTTGTATGTTCTGCTCCAGGACCCCTTACAAACTATGACACCAGGGCCACGTCTTCCCAGGGGAACAGAAGACAGCCCCCTGCCCACCTGCCCACCACCACCCCCAGGAAGTGAGACGGAGCCCTGAGGGGCCAAGCAGTCTCCTTGACCTTTCCTTTCCCCCTTTCCTCTCTTCTCTGAGTCAAATACAGCTGCTCAGGAAGATACGGAACAAACGGTCAGTGTCCACAGACACAGTGACAAGGTCACCTACAGAGGCTGCTCCAGCCGACGGCTATGGCCAGTGCGGGATGCCCCACAGTGTCGCAGGAGCCGAGGCAGGCCTGCCCGGCCGCCCCCAGGGCCTGTGTGCTGGACGCCTGCTCCCCCAGGGCGGTTTCACCGAGAGAGGCTCCGACTTTACACCAGGTTCAATGATGACGGCAGAGCTGAGATGCAGAAATAAGAGCAACACACTATCCTGGTTCCAGCTACTACATGTATCATGGAGAAAGCCAGGATGTTTATGTAACTATAGGTGCACAAGATATTTAGCTAAGCTGGTTGGGAGATGACAAGTTTAAAGGGAGAGAAGAAAACACGGTGACATTCCTGCGAGGGAGCCCTGGGCCTGCCTCGGTGATCAGCGGCCTGTGGGGCGTACCCTGCGCCGGAGCCGACCCCCTACCTGCACGCTGGGGTGTCCTCCGGCCGACGCCTTCACGGCCCCGCGGCTCCCCTCTGTCTCGTAGTGGGCTCTGTGGTGGGACTTGGGCTGCACTTCAATCCTCAGCTCGTAGGGTCCCGAGTGCGATGGCAGCTGCCAGTCGAGGGCCGGCAGCGAGGGGCTGAAACGGCACGGCACAGCATTGAGCATTCCTGGGGGGCCTCACACGCCAGAGCCCCCCCTCACTGTGTGGGCGTGATGTGATGCCCATCCTTCACTGTCTTTCATTCAAGATTCCCATCAGTAAGGGTATGTCCTGGCATTAAGCCTTGTGAGGCTGACGGCTATTTGCTGAGGCCTGTGGCCAGAGGCCAGTCAGGTTCTCACCCTAAGCACTCAGTTAAGATGGAAACGTTTTCTACGTACGACCTTAAAATATTTTCCTTCCTGCATGACGGGCCTCCCTAAATTATTTACCTCCCTAATAAAGCAGGTTCCAGAACTAACAGAACATCTTAGAAGCAAAGAGGTAAGATAAGCTCCCTGCCCTGCTAAATAGACCTGCCGCAGGGCCTGACCAGCTGGAACACAACTGGCCCTTTGGAAACAGTGGAATGGACATGTCTGCAGACCCCCCACCCCTCAATCCCAGGATCCATGCAAGGCCTGGAAAAGAACCTGCCTACCGAGGGCGGGCGGAGAGGTCTGGTCAAATTCAGGAAGAGCTTGGGGGCAGCTGACTATTTCGGTGCTGGCCGGGGAAGGGAGCTGTGTGCCGGCTGCCAGGGCCCGTCCTCGGCGCACAACGGGCGGCACCCTCCTCCCGCCGCTGGGGCACGTGTTAATAGCCTACGTCAGACAGGGAATCATGACTGGGCCACAGGGAGGCCAGGCCTCTGAGCGTCCGAAGGCCCTGCTCTCCCCCACAGAACACGCTACAGGGTCCTGCCCTCTCAAAGACAAAGGCTCGGCATAGAAAGCCCCAGTGCGCGTGCCCGCCAACATGTCCCCACAGGAGCTGGCCTGGGCCACCCGGGTGCCTGTCTGCAGGGGAGCCCGTGTCAGGCGCCCATTCTGGCACCTGGGCAGGGGGCACCATGGGTTGCACAGTGTACCTCAATGTCAACACCATGCGGGCTGGGCCAGCTATGCTTCTGGCTGCGCAAGACCTCAGAGAAGCTCAAACCGACACTGACCACAACTGGGATAAACACGCGTGAGGCTCTGCACCTGCCCCAGAACAACAGGAAGGCAGAAGGCACGCGGCTGGGCTGGGGGCTGGCGCAGCGATGCTGCGTTCACAGCAGTTGGAGAGCTTCCGGACGGAGAGGCACCGTGACGCTGAGGCCTTTTCTAGACGAGGTGATCAGCCTCAGTTTCTGGGAACATGGCCAGGCGAGGGCACAAGGGGGGAAAGCGGCTCCTGGGGAAGGGGCACAAGGGCCAGGACAGATCCTCCAGACAAGACAAGTCCGTTTCACAGGGATGGCAGCAGGAAGCTGTGCTTCGGCGAGTGCCAGCACCACTGGGCCGGCAGAGCACACCTCCGCTCAGGATGCCCGATACACTGTTCTTATTTTGTGTTTTCCTTACACACACTGCTGACCTACGTAAAGACTCACCTGTTATAGATAGAAAAGGAAACAAACACCGAAAGAAGGGCCAGGTCATCTGACTCCCAGGAATCAGAACAAGGGGAGAGCGATCGGAGAGGAGCAGGGACCGAGGGGCAGGCGGGCATGGGCCCGGGCTGCACTCAGAGCCCCAGGACGCTTTGCTGGTGACGATCTGCTCTCGGGTCACCGGCAGAGAGGGCTGCACGGTGTGTGGGGTTTGAAGTTAGAAGAGTTCACAGAATACTGCCGAGATGGGCGATTAAGATTACTGCTTTGGGTCGGAGATTTTCAGCAAGAATTTGGCAGCTCCACAAAACATGCTAAATTGTCTCTGATTCAGAGAAAAGACCCAAGTCTGGGAAAGGCACAGAGTGGGCGGCCGCAGGGAGGGAGATGCTCTGCGGTGGGGCGAGCCCCCTGTGGCCTCGTGCAGCTGCTGGGCTTTGCCTGCTGAATGTAATAGGTGATTTCAAACTCCACGCTCACCTTCAACTTAATTCATTTTTTTAATAAGTCACACTCAGTGCAAACAAGAAAACTGGTGTTAAGAGTCCTATCTGGGGTCCACTTGATTTGTATGAACAGACCCTATATGGAATTACTGTCACACACACACCCATATATACTGAGAAATCAGTTCCATAATTGGGTGTATATCTGTATTTTTATTAATAAGGGATATATTCAACAATATAAAATATCTAAAAGATGCCCTGGCTTTTAAAAATTAAACATCACGTTTTGAGCATTTTAACTTCAAGAATGATTTGGCCACAGCACTCATCTCAGTATTGACTAGTTCTCCACGGCTAGACTTCTGGGTCACTCAGGGCTACTATCAGCGGCAGGGGGTGAGCTCCCAGGTGTGTGCACAGGCGCCTTCCTGCCATTTCCTCAGCAGGCCCGGCACAGCAGCTCCTGACACACCTCCAGACGCCTCCAGGGGGGCTGGGGGGGCCGCCGTGCACATGCTGCTGAGCCCACCAGCATGCACTGATGTGGTTAATCCTTGCTGGTAGCACACACCAAAGGGGCCTCTGAGGCTGGTCCTCACGCAACGCTCCAACCCCAAGTGTGTGGCAACCCACTGTGCATTAACAGTAAAATAGGAAATACTTCTAAATCACCAGGGGTGCCCCCGGGGCCTCCACAGGTCCCGATTTCTTACCAAAGACATTTTACCAAAGACAGCGGGGGTCCCAGGCCCACACCCACCCATCAGAGCGCCTGCTCCTTCAGGCTGCAAAGGCCACTCCGGAGGGGTGGCCACTGTCCTTGACACCTTCAGCCATGGCAAACAGCGCTCGCTGCCACTGGCTTGTCTGGTTCGCTCGTTTGTGAAGTCCCATCTAATGACCCCAACCAACAGTGGGACAGGGGCCTGGGAAACACCGTGTGAAGGGGCAAATTCATCAAATACAAAACAGGACGATGCTCATGCAGAGGACACGGACGTGACCCATCTCTGCCGCAGAACTGGTGCCTCCACTTGAACCTGGCCCCGGAGACCGCAGGCCAGCGTCCATGGCCCAGCCTGGTGCAGGGGACCTGGGAGGTCTGTGCCATGAAGGCCAGCCTCTGGCTGTTGCTGAGGTGGCTATTCCAGGCAGGAGCCTGAGCAGCTCCCAGACTACCTCCTTCTCCTGAATTCTTAGGGGGCTGTCCGCTTGTACGGGGACGACGACGACAACACCAGGCTCCTCCGTCCGGCGTTACCTGGGGTGAGGCCTCAGCGCGAGCGCACCTTCCCCAGAGCTGCACACGCTGGCGTCATGGCCCAGGTGGCCGGTGGCTGTTACGGGACTGGTGTCGGGGACACGGGCCGAAGGGGATGCGGATTTCTCGACAACTTCCTGTGACTCTGGAACTTTTGCAAAATAAAAAGTCTTTCAATTGCCTGTCGTTGTGCCTGGTTCCTAGGAACTGAGTCCGCTGGCACCACGACCCCAGGAGGCCCGGGGCCGCTGCCACACGTGGGCCCTGCGGCTCTGTGCTCTGCTTCCACTGCTCTATGGCACCGTCACTGCCACTCCCGGTGTAGGGACACTGCTCCCGCTGGTGAGGTGGGGCGGGTGACACTTGACACCGAGCCCCCCACAGCGCGCTGCGGGTAGGACCATCCGGGGTCACAGGCGGCAGGCCCCCACCCTGCCGACTGCCGGGGACACAGCTGAGCCTGCCGGGCACACTGGGGACGCCTTGTGTGACATCAGGGAGCAAGTTTCCCTGCTGTGCAGGGCGAGGCCTCCCAGTGGAACAAGACGCCCCCGGAGCCCTGATCTGAATCACTCTGCTCTCGGGGCCGTGGTGACCGTCATTTCCCGTGAGAAAAGCCTTTCATTTTTCACCAAACCTTTGTGTCTCCTCCACACAGGAAAAGTGAAGCATTTTTTAAATGCTCAGTGCACACCTACACACCGGCCCAAAGTCCGGGAGTAACGCGGCTCTTCCGCGCCGACCGCCAAGGGCCCCACGCGGCACCAGGATGCTGGTGGGCGACAGGGGCGCTCCATCCATCCGGCTGCCTGCCTCCCCGTAGCTACAAGCCCGCCTGGGAAGGCCCAGTCTTTCTAAAGCGTGAGGGTCTCAGAACAGCCCAGTCACACAGAGGTGCCCATGACAGTGTCAGTCACAGCTGTCCCTGCCTTACAGGAGGCCCCTTGCCGCCGGCCAAGCGCTGACCTGCGGCAGTCCTCAGCACGGCCCTGGCAGCATCCCCGAGGGCGAGGCCAAGCCTGCGTGGCTGCTACACTCGTCTGCAACTGGTGCCGGGAGCCCATGACCTGGCAGCCTAGGAAGCCACAGCACGAGGCACCAGGGATCGGCTGGACACTCACCCCCAACTCAAAACCAAGGTCATCGCCATGATGACGACCCACCAACAGCAGGGCTCTGCGGTCGGAAGTCTCTGGATAAGCGGCTCCTCAGGTCAGGCCCTGCCCCAGGCCTAAAGGGGCGCCCAGGCTCAGGCTGGGCCGGCCTTCCCACCCCGTCCCCAATTTAAACTGTGCGTTGCTTTTAAGCCCTTTCATCAGTGACCACTGATGGCACAGAGGGAGACATCAGATGCCTGCACGGGCGCACTGCACCTAGCCAGGATCACAATACGTCCCCAGACTCAGCCCTAGTTCGAGGAAGAAACGGAACAGGGTCGGAAGAGCATGCCACATGCCACCGTGGAGGCAACCAGCAGCAGCCAGCCCCGGCAGGGGGACACCGACCGGCCAGGGAGTCACCCACCAGCAGCGAGGAGCCTGCTCCCAGCCCTGAAGACGCGATGGGCCAGGGAGACCCTTGGGGACACGGAACAAGTACTTAAGTTGCTCGTTAGCATCTAATGTGAAATCTGATGGCATCATAGTTCTAAGAATGAGGCCCTGCCTTTGAAGGACACACTGAACGTTTTCAGATAAGGGGTGTCTGGGCCGTGCTGAGCGATGCAGCTGGGCCGGGGGATCGGTGAGCCTCATCCGTCTCAAGTCCGGGACGAACCCAGACACCCACCGGGCTGGCCTCTCTAATCCCGACTGTGTTTAAAGCTCCGTGTAACAGGGCAGAAGACCAG